GGGCACGTGGTGATATTGGACAATGTGGACTAGGGGTCTGGAATGGGATTTTGTTATTGAGGGAGGAATTCTGAGAATGTGAGTTTGAAAATGGGTGGGAGTTTAAAATGAGGAGCTGAAAATGGGGGGTGAGAATGGGGATGGTGAGAATGGGCATGTGTGAGAATGGGCATGTGTGAGAATGGGAATGTGTGAGAATGGGCATGTGTGAGAATGGGCATGTGTGAGAATGGGGAGTGTGAGAATGGGGAGTGTGAGAATGGGGATGTGTGAGAATGGGGATGTGTGAGAATCGGAAGTCTGAGAATGGGGATGTGTGAGAATGGGAATGTGTGAGAATAGGGATGCGTGAGAATGGGAGTGTATGAGAATGGGGAGTGTGAGAATGGGTGTGAGGGAGAGTGGGGGTGTAAGAATGGGGATATGTGAGAATGGGGATGGTGAGTATTGGCATGTTTGACAACAGGGGTGAGTAAGATGTGTGAGTATGGGGTGAGTGTGGGATAGTGATAATGTGGCGATAGGATCGGGGGTATGAGGATGGGGACAAGAGTTGGGGTGTTTGAGAACGGGGCAGTGAGAATAGGGACCGTGTGAGAATGTGAGTGAGAATGGGGGTGTGAGAATGTAAGTGAGAATGGGGGTGTGTGTATGTGAGTGAGAATGGGGGTGTGAATATGGGAGTGAGAATGGAGCTGAAAATGGGTGTACGAGAATGGGGGTGAGAATAAGGTTGTTTGAGAATGGGCAGGGTGAAGTGAATAGGGTATTTGAGAATGGTGAGTAGAGAATGGGTACCTTTAGGGAGATAGTTCCAGGATTTTGACCCAGCAACAATGAAGGAACAGCGATATATTTCCAAGTCAGGATGGTGTGTGGCTTGGATGGGAATTTGCAGGTGGTCATGTTCCAGTGTGTCGGCTGCCCTTGTCCTTCTAGATGGAAGTGGTTGTGGATTTGGAAGGAACTGTCTGAGGATCTTTGGTGAATTGCTACAATGCATCTTGTCAACTGTACACTCTGCTGCTACTGAGTGTCAGTGGTGGAGGGAGTTGATGTTTGTGGTGCCAATCAAGTGGGCTGCTTTGACCTGGATTGCGTCAAGCCTCTTGAGTGTTGTTGGAGCTGGACTCATCCAGGCAAGTGGGGAGCATTCCATCACACTCCTGACTTGTGCCTAGTAGATGATGGACAGGTTCTGGGGAATCAGGAGGTGAGTTACTCACTGCAGTATTCCTAGCCTCTGACATGCTCTTATAGCCGCTGTGTTTATGTGGTGAGTCCAGTTGAGTTTCTGGTCAATGGTAACACCGGGATGTTGATAGTAGGGCATTCAGTAATGGTATCACCATTGAATGTCAAGGGGCGGCTGGTTAGATTGTCTCTTACTGGTGATGGTCATAGCCTGGCATTTGTGTGGTGTGAATGTTACTTGTCACCTGTCAGCCAAGCCTGGATATTGTGCCGATCTTGTTGCATGTGAACATGGACTGCTTCAGTATCTGAGGAGTCACGAATGGTGCTGAACATTGTGCAATCATTGGCAAACATCCCCACTTTGGACCTTATGATGGAGGGAGGGTCATTCATGGGGTTGAGAGTGGGGGGAAGAGAATGGGATGTGAGTATGAGAGCTGAGAATGGGATAAGAATGGAAGGGAGAATGAGAGTGTACGGGGATGAGAATAGGGGTGTGAAATGGGGATGTGTGGTTTAGAGTGGAGGTGTTTGAGAATATGGTGTGTGAGAATTGGGTCGTGAGAATGTGGATCTGAAAATAAGGGTGTTGGAGTATGGGAGGTCACTTGAGAATGGAGGTGTTTGAGAATGGAGGCGTTTGAGAATGGGGATGTTTGAGAATGGGGGTGTTTGAGAATGTGGCTTAAGAATGCAGATAGGACCCTGTGAGTACAGTTTGGAAACAGGGCATTGAAAATGGGGCTGAAAATAATAGTCTCAGAATGTGACGTTGAGATTAAGTTGTCAGAAGGAGAAAGTGAAGCCTGAGAATGGGAGGATGAGAATAGACAGTGAGAAGTGGGTATGATAATAAAGCTGAGAAGCGGCTTTGAGAATGGGGGAGTGAAAGAGGGCTTGGAGAAAGGTGACTGAAGATAAGATGCTCATATCCCAATTCTCACTCTAATCCCAAACCCTATTCTCATACCCCCATTCTCACTCCCCATTCTCACACCCATTTTCACATTCCCCATTCTCACACTCACATTCTCACCCTCCCCATTCACACCAATATTAATAGACCCCATTCTCAACTCACCCCCATTCTCACATGGATCCTACCCCCATTCTCAACTTCATCCTCACACCACTCGTATCCCCTCACTTCCATCCCTAATTTCCCACTTCTGATCCTTCTCCAAGCCCATACCATTTCCCATTCCCCATCTACGTAAATGCACAGGTTGGTTTGGCTGGGAGTATGTATCTGCCAACAGCAGAGAATCAGCGGGTTCAGTGGAAGAAGAGTCAGTGATTGATGTCTCTTCAATAAACGCACTTTCACGGTGATAACCTGACATGACTGGGCTGATGAAAGACAATGCAGTCGCTAAACATCAGCCAGTTATCCAGATGCTTTGGCAGCAATGTGAAGTTGAATTGACGGAGAGAGAGGAGGTAGACTTTAAACAGCACATCCTCTGGTCTTCACAACATCTTTACATGTTCAAAAAAGTATAAATTGCTTTGGAGGTGCAGACACTGTCGGTATTTGAAACAACATTTTCGGCTAAAGTGGAGGTTTTTGAGTTCATATTTTCTGTTGGTCAATTCCCATCTCCAACTATTGGTTTTAAGGCTAGGTTTGTGGCCATTAACAGGCCCAGGCCATGGGCTGTGAAGAGCGCTGTTGCAGCTGAATCCCTGGCTCTCTTACATGGTGAAGTCCATACTGGGGTATCTTGGGAACGGTAGTGTGTATGGTCCACCAGAAAGCCTTAGGCCTGTGCTGACCAGTGAGCAACACAAAGGCTAGGATACATCATTACCGCTCGAGATAAAAATTGTAATTTGATAGCATCTCCTAGTTTGATTTGATTTGGCAAATTGGTTTATATTTTAAAATAGATGAACTGTGCTCAACATCTCCCAACCCTCAAATTATATTTAAATCTAATTTAAATCATTTGCCTTTGTAAATTTTTGATTAATTTCTGTTACAGTGCCTCGCTGGGACTGTTGAACCCATCTTGTTTCCTTAGCTGTTTCTTTAAAAGGGGTAGAACTGCCAGCCTTCTGTCGTATAAAATGCGGCTTGCTGTGACTCTGTGATAAGCATCACGCACACTGTGGTTCTGCTGCAAAGGAGAACAGTTGGCTGAGAAGGTGCCGGAATCTCTGGCCCACTCTTGGGTCTTCTAAACCAGCTGAGCTTCTTGTTTCTGCACATCTCTTCCTATGCCATTCCAGTCAGCTTCAATGTGTCACTGCTGAAAGTGATTATTCCACCATCCGCCATCTTGTAGATATCCCTGTAGCAGAGATAAGGACACCAGGAGGAACATGGGAAATTCCACACCAAAAAAAAACCAATGTCCATCCAGTTCATCTTCTTCCAACCTGATACAATAATGACAAACCTTGTTGACAAATCACTTCAATCAACCTCTATCATTTAATCTGGCATGTAGGAAGATGGTTGTGGTTGTTGGAGGTCAGTCATCTCAGCTCCAGGGTATCGTTGCAGGAGTTCCTCAGAGTAGTGTCCTACGCCCAACCATCTTCAGCTGCTTCACCAATGATCTTCCATCTATCACATATTCCATTATGGTTCTGACTTGTGCCTTGTAGATTGCCGACAGGCTTTAGGGAATCAAGAGGTGATTACTGCCACAGGATTCCAAGCGTCTGACATGCTTTTGATTCTGCTGTGTTTATATGGTTAGTCCTGTTGAGTTTCTGGTCAATGGTAATCCCCAGGATGTTGATAATGTGTGACTCAGTGATGGTAACACCATTGAATGTCAAGTTGCAATGGTTAGACTGTCCCTTATTGGTGATGGTCATAGCCTGGCATTTGTGTGGCATGAATATTACTTGCCACATGTCATCACAAGCCTGAATATTGTCCAGAGATAGTAAGATAAGAACTGCCGATGCTGGAGTCAGAGATAACACAGTGTGGAGCTGGAGGAGTACAGCAGGCCAGACAGCATCAGAGGAGCAGGAAAGTTGATGTTTCGGGTCAGGACCCTTCTTCAGAAATTGGGGAAGGGGAAGGAAGCTCTGAAATAAATAGAGGAGGGGTGGGGCTGGGGAAGGTAGGTGGGATGGTGATAGGTGAGTGCAGGTAGGCAGTGGTGGGGATTGGTCAGTGAGGTGGGAGTAAAGGATAGGCGGGAGAGAAGATGGACAGGTTGTATCAGGTCAAGGAGGTGGGGATGAGAGAGAGGGTTGGTCATGGGATGAGGCCGGGGGTGGGGAGATTTTGAAATTGGTAAAGTCCACATTGAGACCATTGGGCTGTAGGCTCAAGGCGGAATATGAGGTGCTGCTCCTCCAGTTTGCGGGTGGTGTCATTGTGACACTGGAGGAGACCCAGGATGGTCATGTCACCCAGGGAGTGGGAGTTAAAATGGTCCGTGACTGGAAGGTGTTGTCGTTTGTCATGCACAGTGCGCCGGTGCTCTACAAAGCTTTGTTGTGGTTGAACATGGACTGCTTCAGTATCTGAGGAGTCACGGTTGTTGTTAAACATTGTACAATCATTTGCGAGCGTCCCCACTTCTGACCTTATGATGGAGAGAAGGTCAGTGATGAAGCATTGATGCTTAGGCAATTGGATTGCACGTTGTTCCCAGGACAAGGCCCTGGGAGATTGACAGCTCTCTGAGGGGCGGGGCCATAACCGCACGAAGCCGGCGCAGTGACGCACACGCTGGGCGGTGTCAATATGCGGTGACGCAGCACGGGTCGGGGACCTTACGGCGTGACGGTAGACGCTGGACGCGGTCGTTACGCGGTGACGCAAAACGTTGCCCCGGCGCGCCCGCCTTAAAGCGGTGACGCTACAAGATGGCGGCGCTTTGAATTGGCGGCTGCGGGCGCGACATGGAAACTTCGGCCCCAAGAGCACCCGGCCCTGGGCCGCCAGGGTAAGGAGCAGGCCCCGATCAATAACGCATAGCACCCGGGGGAGGGGGCAACAAGGAGAATGAGAATGGGAGGAGGACGAGAATTTGGGCGGGGGAGGTGAATCTGTCTGCTCCCCCCAGTCTCCCTCACCCAGCCCCCCCCCCCCCCATTCTCCCTCCCACCCTCCCTCAAGGAAACCTCCCTCATTCTCCCTCGGAGAAGCAACCGTGGGTCCCCGACGGATGGAGAAGGAGAGGTGGTGTTGGAATGAGTAGGAGGCATCCCTGAGGGGAGGGTGTGAGGGAGAGAGAGAGATTGAGGGCCGGAGAATGAGAAAGATAGTAGGGTGGGGGAGGGTCCCCAGGGATGGGAAGGGAAGGGAAGGGATGGGATGGGATGAAGAGAGAGTGAGTGAGGAGGGTCTCTGTGAAGTGAAGTAGCCTTCAGGAGAGAGTTGGAAACGTGTCCCCCTGAGGGCTCGATGGGAGGAGCAGAGGGATTTGAGGTTCTCTAGGATCGTTGGAAGTGAGGATCCCAGGGTAAAGGGAGGGAGTGTGATGAGGAATGGCATCCTGGATATGGAAGGAAGGAAGAATGAAATCTACTGGGTAAAAGGGATTCTGAAATGACTTTAGTCTGCATATCGATTGGACGAATATAACTAAGTGTCAGTACCGTATTGCAGTCTGTTTGAGATGTTTTTCTGGAGCAATACTTTGAGTGACCAACTTGTCATGGGTTATTTTAGATCTATTGTTATGCAGTGATAAATGGCTAACTGCTTATCTTGTAAAATAACTTTTAGGAAATAGTGATTATAGTATGATTAAAAATTTTCCACTGTTTGAAGATGTAGTTCAATCTGAAACTAAGATGTTAAACCTAAGCAAGGGAAATTATGAAAATATGATGTTGATTTGGCTGGAACAATATTTCAAAAAGTTTGAAGTAAATCGGAAGTCGCAAGTATTTGAAGAATTCAAGACAACAAGGTGCAGGGCTGGATGAACACAGCAGGCCAAGCAGCATCATAGGAGCAGAGAGGCTGATGTTTTGGGCCTAGACCCTGATGAAGGCAAATTGACTGAGGTCCTTTATTTCAAGGGGAATTGAATGTAAAAGTAAGGACGTTTTGCTAAAACTGTACAATGCATATTCAAACCACAGCTAGAATACAAATGAACATTTGTGGGCCCCTGATCTAAGAAAAGATATACTGACCATTGGAGACCGTCCAAAGAAGGCTCACTAGGCTGATACCTGGTATGGAGCCTTGCCTTTTGAGGAGAGGTTGTGTAGTATGGGCCTATATTCTTTGGAATAAAGAAGAAAGAGAGGCAACCTTATTGAAACCTACAAAATTTTTAGAGCACTTGACAGGGTAGGTGCAGAATGGTTGTTTTCCCTTATGTGAGAGACTAGGACAAGTGGGCATGATCTTAGAATAAGGGGTCATGTGTTTAAGGCAAACGAGGAAGAATTTCTTCTGAAGGTGGTGAATCTGTGAAATTCCTTGCAGCAGAGGGCTGTTGATGCTGTGTCGTTGAGTACATTCAAAGTTGAAATGGGTTGATTTTTAATTAATAAGGGAATCGCGGATTATTCAGGAGGTGTAACAAAATGGAGCTGAGAATGATCAGTTCAGCTGTGATCTCATTGAATTGTGGAGCAGCTTTGATGGGCTGAATGGCCTACTTTTGTTCCTATGTCTTGTGGTCTAATTTAGTATTTGGTTTTCAGAAAACTTACCTTTCTTAAACGAAGGAAAAATACTAGAAAAAGTGAAATATGAATGTTGTCATATGAAGAGCAGTTGAAGTCTCTGGGTTGTACTCAATGAAGCTTAGAAGGGTGATGGGGGTATCTCTTTGAAACTTAGTTTACAAACTTACTGAGCGGCCTGGATAGAGTGGGACTTGGAAATGGTGTTTCCATTAGTAGGACCTGATGGCACAGTCTCAAAGTGAAGGGATGACCTCTTAGATCTGAGATGAGGATGAATTTCCTTAGCCAGAGGGTGGTGAATCTGTGGAACCCATTGGTGCAGAAGGCTGTGGAAGTCAAGTCGTTGATTGCATTTAAGACAGAAATAAATAGGTTCTGATTAGTAAGAGTATCAAGGATCGTGGGGAGAGGGTGGGAGAATTGGATTGAGAAACATCAAATGGTGGAGCAGACTTGGACCAAATGGCCCAATTCTGCTCCTATATCCTATGGTGTAGCAATGTTACTCGCGGTTGAAGGGTTTATATAGTTGCCAAACACAGTTATAAACTTGAGGATTGGCAGAATTTTAGAATGCAGCAAAGAAGTATAAAGAGAATAGAATATGAATGCATTGTAAAATGCTTCATCAGTATGTTAAAAAGAAAAAGATTAGCAATGGCGAATGTGGATGCATTATAAGCAGAGCAGAATTGGACGTAGAGAAATGATAGAAGCTAAATAAATTGGAAAGAACAATAGACATCGAAGGAGAGAGACACAAGAAGTCTCCCTGAAATAAAGGGTCCAATGAGAATGTGGAAGTGAAAGAAATAACCACTTATATTTAAAAAAAGAAATGGTATTGGAAACATTAATGGGATTAAAAGGTAAGCCCCTGAATCATGCTGATCTTCACATAAAGGGCTATCCCAAAAGGATTTGAGTACGGGCAAAGAGGTCTTCGATTGTATAGAACACGTGAGCCTGCAGTTCTGGCCCCTTGCCTCAGGATATATTTATCATAGAGGGAATGTAGTGGAGCTTCACCAGACTGATTCCTGGGATAGTAAGACTGTCCTGCAAGGAGAGATTGAGGAAACAGGGCCTGTATTCTCCGGAGTTCAGAAGAATGAAAGGCAATCTCCTAGAAACTGATACATTTCTTTGTATCGGTAGGCAGCATAGATGCAGAAGGGATGTTTCCCCTGGCTGTGGGATCTGGAACTAGAGAACACAGTCTCAAAATAAAAGGCAAATCATTTACGTCTGTCATAAGAGGGAACATCTTCACTCAGGGTAGTGATTCTTTAGAGTTTTGTCTCTTGGCTGTGGAAGCTCAGTCATTAAGTTTAAGATAGTTTGATAGATTTCTAATCATTAATCAGAGCATTTTGGGATAGTGAGGGAATCTGGTGCTGAGGTAGATCAGCCATGATCTGGAATGACAGAGCAGGCTTGAGGAGCTGATTGACCCGCTCCTCCTATGTTCTTATGTTAAACGTGCTACCTAAAACACGTTTTCTGAAGCTGCAAACGACTTTTCCTTTCACTCACCTGTTTCCACTGCAGAAGCTGGCCCAGTATTGGTCAGGAGTCTTTGTGTGAGAAAACTTCATATCTATCTCTTCTTGTTGTCCTCCTCAGCCCCCACCCCAACCCCGCCATTAATTTCAATCTGTTTACCGAGCGTCACCTGCATCAGTCAAAATTCAGCGTGTTTCTACTTGAAAGCTATCACCTATTTAGGTTGTAAAGCCGTATTACAAAACTAGGGAGCACTTCCATAAGTCATCCAAAACTAGTTGGAATTATTTCCCGTTCCTGCTGGAAGGCAGAAGGATCGGAAAAGGAACAAGTGGGAAAGTCTATAATTGAATTGATGACAAAGGTTAAATGAAAGAATTGGTAGTATGGAGTCAAACGGTGTTAATGGGATGAGAAGAGAGAGGTCTAGATTAAGTATGAATGTTTCGATAGAGAACAGGGCATTGGGGGTGATAGAGTAGTGGACTGAATGCTTGCAGAAGGAACAATGGCGGGAGAGTTTGCTTGATTTCTTGAAACTCCTTTGCTGTCTGTGCAGTTCAGCTTGGTTTCCCCAGAGATAAATTTAAAAGTTATCAAAATTCCACTTTTTACGTATTGGTTCCTAGCTAGTTTTCATTTTGTCTTATCTCAAATGCTGTTGTATTTTGTGTTGTGAAGTTCACTGACTCAGACCTGGCACAGTGGAGAAAATTGTAAAAGCATTTTACTGCATTCTTTCATGACCCCAAATCACTTGATGTGCAGTGTGTTAGATCAGTATTTCCAGAGTGTGACCAGATGAAGGAGCAGTTGTTAGTGGTGGAAAAATGAACATTCAACATGCAAAAGAAGCCACAGTTGGTGGAACTACGATATCAGAAATGATGTTTCTTCGAAGCGTGGGTGAGAGACTGTGTGGAGATCAGGGATGAGCCATGCAGCACTTTTAAAGACACTGCATATTGCGTGGAACAGGCCATGCACAAAAGGAGAAAAAGAATATTGATTGTAGAGCTGAGGTTGGTTATTGAAATAGAGAGGGCTGAGGCCATGGAAGAAGGTCATGCACAGGCCAGTCAATAAGAACTAGACAACCAAGACCCTCTTGCTCCATAGCCCTGTATGTTACAACACTTAAAATGTATTTTCAAGTACTTTTTAAGCATAGCAATGGTTTCTGTCTCTTGAGCCCTTTCTCTTAGAATTCAGTCAAGTTAATCATGACCTTTCTTTAATGCATCTATGCTACTGTTCTTCATTAATCTGCACCTTTCTGAATGAAAGTTTATTCTGTTCCTTGGATTTTTCCAATAACTTACCTACCAAGGCTAACTATTTGGTCCATTCCATCCTTTTTAAACAATGTTACTTGTTCATCCGTCCTCTGCCACTCAACCTGTTACCAAAGAGTGTTGGAAAACAATGGTCAGAGCTTCTATCCCAGTGTCCCTTGCTTCTCTTAGCATCTAGGGATTCATTTTATTCAGAACTGAAAAGTCACCCAAAGATGGTAAAGCATTTAATGTTTATGCTGTCCAGTATTTCTCACTTTCAAGCCATGATGTCTGCATTATCTACTTTCCTTTGTGAAGACTGGGACAGGGTATTATGTTATATAAAGTCTCTAGTCAGTTCTACTCTTTCCTTAGATATCGTCTTGCTCTTTATAGATATTTTTCAGCCAGTCTTTTCAGGGCTGTTATTATACATCCCTGGAGGAGGTGGTACTTGACCCTGTGGCTGAGGTAGGAATGCTACCACAGTACCATAAGATCCCTGTCTTGCTCTTTATATATTGAGTTTTTGCACTTCCTTTAATTTGCTTTCCAAAATTATTTTATGCCATCTCTTTGCTTTCCTGGTTTTTAAATATTTAAAAAATGTTCTAATTACACTGATATTTTCTATATTTTAAGCTTTTGACTGTATTGAGATTTTCTCATCTGACAAATATTCTTTTCTTATCTTTCTGTGCTCTTTGACATCTGGGGTGGGGGTGGAGTCTAGATTTGGGAGTCCTGCCTTTTTCTTTCATGGCTAGATATTTCTGAGCAGCATCTATCTCTTTAGTGAATGTATCTCACTTCTCTGGCATTGATTTACCTTCAAGCGACTGATTCCAGTCCACTTTGTCTAATTATATTGTAGCTTAATAAAATTGGCCTGTTCTCTCTTCAATCTGTCCTTCTCCATAACTGTGCTAAACCAAACTGAGTTCTGATCAATGTGACAAAAATACCGACCCACTGATACTCCTCCTATCTGACCAACTTTATTCCTAGAACTAAAGCCAGAACTGCTGCCCTCTTTGGGTTGCTGTGTATGCGTATGTTTAGGAGAATGAGGTGACTTGATTGAAGCAAATAAGATGCTGAGGGGCCTTGACAGTGCAGATGTGGAACAGATATTTCCTCTTGTGGTAGAGCCTAGAACTAGGAGTCGCTCCTTAAAAATAAAGGTCTCTCATTTTAAGAGAATCTTTTTCTGAGGGTCATGAGTCTTTGGAACTTTCTTCCTCAAACTGTGGTGTAAGCAAAGTCTTTGAAATTTTTTAAGGTAGAGATAGGTAGATACTTGATATGCAAGACAATGAAAGGGGAGTCAGGAATGTAGATTAAGCAGATCAGCCATGGTCTTATTGAATGGCAGACAGGCTCAAGGGACTCAATAGCCTCTGACTGCTCCCAATCCATATGTTAAGAATTCCGTGCTACCTATGCCTTTTGCCCTATTACTAGAAGAATTGAAATTCCATGCTATTGCTGCCTTATTGTTTGTGTACTTGGCAATTGAAAACCGGGATGCAAATTTTGAAATCGAATGTTGCTGACCTGGGAGTCAGTGTAGGTCAGGCTGCAGACGGGTGGTGGATGAATGGAACTTGATGCGAGTTAGGATATAGACTGCAGAATTTTGGATAACCTTTGGTTAACCGTAATTGCATGTTGGGAGGTCAGATGAGCACTGGAGTTGGATTTTGACATCCATGTTGCATAATGTCACTCAAATCTTTGACCGTTAACTGCAGTGCCTCATAGTAGTCATCCTGGCACAAGTCACAAGAGTAATTTGACAATGCATGCTCCTTATAATTGTACACATTTCCTGCTTCCTCTCCACAGTATCTTTCATGTATAGTTTTTAGACCTTTTTTGGACCATTTACCACTGGAGTTCCTTCTGTGGGTTTAAAAGCTAAGATTTGTGCAAAAGTCTGTCAGATTAGTCGGTTGTCAGTTCTGATACAGATATTAATTTTGTATTTACCATGCTTAGCAAACTGCTTACCATTGGTGAATTTCAGTTCTTTCTTGAGACCAAACTTGATTCTGAAGTATATTCACATAGTTGCATTTTAGCTGTAGTTTTTGAGAAGATTTGTAGCTCGGGTTGTGGATGAGGTTGTAGACTTGCTCGCTGAGCTGGTGTGTTTGATTGCAGACGTTTCATCACCCTGCTAGGTAACATCGTCAGTGCGCCTCCGGTGAAGTAGTGTTTAAAAAGCATCGTATTCTACTCCAGTGGTGCTTTTTGGTAACCCCATTTTAATGTTTTCTAAGTCTAATACTTGTTTATGGACACCCATTTGTTTCTTGTTACTTCTACAGTTGCCTTCTCGAACTTGAAACCAATCTGTATTTATCAATTCTTCATTTGCCTTGCTGGAATTTGAAACCAATCTGGAATGCATGAGACTGAGTTGTTTTGGAATTTTGCATTTTGGAATAAGAAGCCTGACCACACATGCATGAACTGGAAACACAGTTTAGAATATTTACCTGAAACATACAATAATTATAAAGCAAGTACTTGCGTTTTGTGGTACTGCCCCCAAGACATACTTTGCTACTGTTTTCTAGGATACCATGGTGGGTGTTTTTAAAAAAAACACTTTATCTGGAAAGCCTTGGGTCTTTTCAAAGCACCAGTGCAAAAGAAGAAGGTGAGAAAGACAGAAAGATAGTGAGAGAGACAAATCCAGAGTGAAACGTGGAGAAATAGACATAGATGGAAGCATAGACTTAGGGTTTTAGAGGCTTGAAAGTTGTATGACTCCTGGATGACAATGGAGTGGATGGAGGAGGGAGGACCTCAGACAGTAGAGGATAAAGCTTTGTGAGGATCATTGCAAACTTGGAGCTCATGGTCCTGAGATTTCAGCTTCTCTGAAATTTTAGCATTTGGAGTCCCAACCGTCACTTTGGGAAACCCTGATGTTGAGAAATCTATTTGTAACGTTGTAATGCCATTGAAAGTTAAGGGCAAAGGGTCAGACTCACCTCTGGATTTCAGCTTTTTTCCACACATTTGGACCAAAGCTGGTTGGAGTGGTAATTGACAAGGTTGAATTTAACTTGCTTTTTGTAGACAGGACATCCCTGGGCAATTTTCCAATTATTTAGTAGATGCCTTTGTTGCATTGGACTGAAAGAGCTTGGCTAGGGCTAGTTCTGTAGCATATATCTTCAGCACAATTTCCTGTTTGTGGTCTGTTGGGCTCCCCCACTATTTGAGGATGGGAAATTTCCTCCACAAAATAGTTCAATTGCCCACCATTTTTTAACAAATGGATGTGACAGGACTGAGGAATATTGATCTAATCTGTTAGCTGGGGGACCGTTTAACTTTGTATTTTGTACTATTTCTGTTGTTTGGTGTACAAATGGTCCTGAATTGTAGCTTCATTAGACTGATACCCTATTTTTAGTTAGGCCTGATGCTACTCCTGACATGCCATCCTGCACTCCTCATTGAACCAGAGTTGCTGATAACCATATTTCCATATGGAAAAGTTGTAACTTTCCCTTATCATTTTGGTAATGTAGCATTAACAAATTGTGCCACATGTGTCTGCTTGTTGAAGTTGAACTTAATCTTCATTATCCTCTCTTTTGTATATCTTGCAGGTTAACATATTGGATATTTGTCATGTACCACCAAGAATGATAACGCTTAAAGTCAATGGATAAATGCAAGCATGTAGGGCGGCTTCGGCTTGCCCAGGATCATTCGATTTTAAACCCCCAAAAATGGCATTGTGTGGACTGCAATACTACGGAGTCGATGTGGGCATGTCTCAGCTGTTCACATGTTGCCTGTGGACGTTACAATGAAGAACATGCACTAAAACATTTTCAGGAAAGCAAGCACCCGGTAGCCTTGGAAGTCAATGAATTTTATGTATTTTGTTACGTTTGTGATGACTATGTGCTGAATGACAATGCGACAGGCGATCTCAAATTGTTGCGGAGCACATTAAGTGCGATCAAGAGTCAGAACTATGATTGTACAACTCGAAGTGGTAGGACTTTACGGTCAATGGCAGGAAGTGATGACTCTTACCTTTCTCGGGGCTGTGCACAAGCGCAGCTGCGAAATGAGGACAGGATGTTCACTGCACTTTGGCATCGACGTAAACTGCTCTTGTCTAAGGTGTTTCAGTCTTGGTTCGCTCTGACAAGCAGTGGCAAGCTGAGGCTCGAAGAAGAACGATTAAGGGAAGAGGCCGAACTGAAAAGGGAAGAAGCCAGAAAAAGACGACAAGAGCTAAAGCAGCGGATACATGCTGAGTTGCTGAGTGCACCACCACGTAAGAGTTCCCGTTTAAATGAACTCTCTCAAGTTAGTGACGCATCGGCTGTACGATCACCAGCCAAATATAGAGGAGTGACAACTGGCCTTACCTCGAGCACAGTGAGATTGAAAAAAATTGGTGATTCTCCTATTAAACGGAGACCAACTGTCACACCTGGTGTGACAGGACTGAGAAACTTAGGAAATACATGCTATATGAACTCCATTCTGCAAGTGCTAAGTCATCTGCAAATATTTTGCGAGTGTTTCCTACATTTTGATTTGAGTCAAACTCAGGAGCTGCTGGCCAGTACAGCAAATGGGAAAACTAGACCCTCAAGCCGGCAATATTTGGCTAGTGACATTAATTCAAGCACATCTTTGATAGATGAGGAAAAAATCTTGAGACGACCCAGTCTTTCTGAAGGATTGAGTGGGGGAGCATCGAGTAGCAGGAATAGGGAGCTAATTCAGTTGAAGGAGCCAAGTTCAAAGCACATCTCTCTGTGTCATGAACTCCACACCCTTTTTCTGGTAATGTGGTCTGGCAAGTGGGCTTTGGTATCTCCCTTTGCTATGCTTCACTGTGTATGGCGATTGATCCCAACATTCCGTGGATATGCTCAGCAGGATGCTCAAGAATTCCTCTGCGAGTTATTGGATAAAGTCCAGCAGGAGTTGGAAGCTACAAAAACAATGTGTACAGCCCCAATCCCCATATCGCAGCGACAGCTAATCAAGAGAGTTCTTACTGTGGTCAACACCATTTTCCACGGACAACTACTCAGTCAGGTATTGGTTGCATTACCGAGCAAGTCTTTACGGTGGCATTTTCTGATTTTTGACAAACGAATGATGTAGTACCAAATTGATTTCAAGAGTCATAATTAAAATCTTGCATTTCAGTTCAGCAACAATGGCAACATCTCGGTTCACTTTACCCTCTTTACTATCCTAGTTCAGTAACTTGAGGCTGCACAAGAAAATAGCCCTGATATCTTGCCGAGCATGTAAAATCTCAGTGATCACCACTTGCCTTTATTAATGTTGGGCCGATTGAGTCAAGGTTAAGTCCTTAAAGTAAAACTACAGCCCCAAGCACTTAAGGACTAACTTGTTCACTGTCAGGAGCTACCGAGCCTGGAAAATTCTCCAGGCCCTGCTGAACTTAGATGGTTCAGAAACTTGCCTCTGTTTACTTTGAATTAAACGAGGCAGATCACTCAGGGTTTTACTCCTTATCACTATCCAGAGGTAGGATTTGTTTCCTGCCACTCTGAAGAACTCTGGGTAGTCTTTTCTTTGAGGGCAGGGGCTGTGATACTCTCCATACCAAATATTTCGATTCAGGCTTTTGCATCATACAGCCTTTGAAATGCAATTAAATGTTAGAAATGGGAAATTGTGAAAGGGATAGAACAAAGTATTTAAATGTGTAGCTGCCTGAAAACAAGCACAAGTAGTGGTGTAGGCTTGAATGGCCTAATCCTGCTCCCCAGTGCGGTGCTGCTATTATTCAAGCACAGAGGATCCTGAACAGGCTTGATAGGGTGGATACGGGGAGGATATTTCTTTGTGTCGAGGAGACCAGGAAGGTGCAACAGTTTAAGAATAAAAGATCTTTTTTTAAGATGGGAGATGATGAGATTTGTTACTTTGTGAAATTATTTTCCCTGGAAATTAATGAAGGTCATGTCATTGAATTTAGACACGGCAGTGTTGGGTAGATTTGATTGACAAGGCAGTCAAGGATTATGGAGGGTCAGACGCTAGGTGGCATTGAGATTAAATGACCTATTCCTGCTCCCATGTCTTAAGTGTGATTGGCTGAATAGCTTTCTTTTTGTTTTGCTGTATACTTGATTGTGTCTTATGGCCACTTGAGTTTTATACTAGCATGAAACAATACCCTGGAAAGATGGTAGCAAGCTGAAGTACAAGAGCGATATTGAAAACATTTGTTTGAGTTGGGTCTTAATCCCTGCGATTTGCCCTCAATCCTATTTCCACCAGGAAACATTTTTGCCCTGCATGCTGCTTTCCAGCTGCAAAGAAGTGGGTTCTTGTAACTTCTACCTTTGTCACTTCTGTCTGTGGAGCTCGTCATAAATTCTTCTTTAACCTCTCTTCTGACGTGGAACAGTTTGCATAAACCAGAATTGAATTTTAGCTTATTGTGGAAATTGAGCAAGTGCTAAAGTAGGTATTACCATATAGCAGGCTGAAGTGTCATTCTGTAAGTTTATAATTTCTTTGATTAATTCCAATCTTTAATGTGACCATGAATGTCATGGGCTATAGAACATACGCATTTTTAACATAGAACATTCCAAGATTGGTTACAATGTGATCAGATGTGGGTTCAGATTTTCTCCATCTGCCATACAAGATCCCGCTTTTATTTTTTCCACCTTTTTGTAAATTGTTTAGCACTTGCATTTTGTATCATTCTTAGGTCTACTAGTTTTGCTCTAATGCACCTTTGTCTCAGTAATTGATGGACTTCCATCTACAAATGGTGGAAAAAGGCCCACATGAACATAATGGATATTCCCAACACAGGCTGAGATGATAAACCAGATTTCAATATCCAAACCAATTTGGGGCAATGTTTGGCTGTTTTTCTGCCCCTTGCTATGTGACCAGAAGTAGCCCAGAGATCTTCAGGCCTTGATACCTCTGCATTACTGACCTTTAGCAAGATGGGATCTGTGCCTTAGCCAGGAATAAGTCCAGCTTTTGTTAGAAGGTATTCTTTGAATCTATATCTGCTGAATGTACCTGCAATCTGTTCCCAGACAATAGTGAATCTCTTTTTGTTTTGGGTGGGGGGAGGGGAGCTTATGAACCCGGAGCAGAGTTGAAATTTAGATCAGCTATGAACATACAAACAGCACCCTCTAAGAACTTTAAGTTTCAATGAGAATCACCTCTTATTTTTTGAAACTCTGGTGTTTAAAGGCCCAGTCTCTTCGATCTCTCTTTGTAAGAGAACCTGTTTCCCACCCAGTAGTCTGATGAACTCTATTGTGCTCCATGCAGTAAGTTTGCATCTTGTTAGAAAAGGAGACCAAAACTCTATGCAATGTTCTTGGTCCAGCCTCGAAGGTTTTGTTGCAGCAAGGCATGTTTTTTACTTCTGTACTCCAATCCCTTTACAATAAAGGCTGTATCCACGCTGTTACTGCCTGATTTTTAGTCCATGGGCTTTTGTTTTGCCAATAAGCCTCAACCAATAGTGTATGAAATGCCCTTTGAAAGTCCTTAATATAAAGTGTAGTTCCCACATTCACTTCTCTGTTCCCTCATCCAAATACTCAATTAAGTCAAACATGATTTGCTATCACAATAAATGGTGTTAGCTGTCCATAATTAGCTCACAAATGTGACTTTCTCGATTATTGTTTCTGGAAGGTTTCCATCCTCTGTGTCTTTAGTCCTTGTGCAATCATTTAATGGGAACAATTTTTCTTTCTCCTGCTTAACTAAATCTGTCATAATCTTGTATTCTGAGATCTTCTCTCAGCCTCTTGTTTCAATGGGAACCATCTGAGCTTCTCCAATCTAACACAGTGCTCTAGTTGTGATCTTAGCTGAGGTTTATAAACATTCAGCACTACTCCCTGTTTTTATATAAATGATATGGATGTGAGTATTAGTAAGTTTGCAGATGACACCAAAATTGGTGGTGCAGTGGACAGTGAAGAAGGTTACCTCAGAATAAAACAGGATCTTTATCAGATGGACCAGTGGGCTGAGGAGTGGCAGATGGAGTTCAATTTAGGTAAACGTGAGGTGTGGCATTTTGATAATACCAACCAGGGCAGGACTTGTACACATTATGATAGGGCCCTGGATAGTGTTGCCAAACAGAGACCTAGGAGTACAGGCACATAGTTCCTTGCAAGTGGACAGGGTAGTGAAGAAGGCGTTTTTATGGTTGCCTTCATTGGTCAGAACATTAAGTGTTGGAGTTGGGATGTTATTTTGCAGCTGTACAGGACATTGGTGAGGCCACTTTTAGAATACTGTGTACAATTCTGGTCTCCCTTCTATAGGAAAGATATTATTAAACTTGAGAGGGTGCAGAAAGTATTTACAAGCATGTTGCCTGGACTGGAGGGTTTAAGTTATAGGGAGAGGCTAAATAGGCTGGGGCTATTCTCCCTGGAGCGTCAGGGGCTGACGGATGATCTTACAGAACTTTATCCATGCCCCTTATGATTTTATAGGGTGAATAGCCAAGGTCTTTCTCCTAGGGTGGGGGAGTCCAAAACTAGAGGGCATAGATTTAAGGTGAGGGGAATGATTTAAAAGGGACCTGAGGGGTAAGTTTGTTTTTTGCTCTGAGGGTGGTGTGTGTATGGAATGAGCTGCCAGAGGAATGTGGTGGAGGCTGGTACAATTACAAGGTTTAAAAGGCTTCAGGATGGGTGCATAAATAGGAAGGGTTTAGGGGGATATGCTCCAAATGCTGGCAAATGGGACTAGTCAGATTGGGATGTCTGGTTGGCGTGCGCAGATTGGACTGAAGGGTCTGTTTCCATGCTGTATGACACTATGACTCCATCTCCTCTCAATATCTCCACAATAAAATTTATCCGCATGAATCCCCAGGTTCTGCAGAATCATTACAGCTGAACTACTAAGATCTACGTATCTCTCTTGCCGCATTGCATACTCCCATTTGAGTTAAACTCCATCTGTCATTTAGTTGCTCATCCTGCCAACCCATCCATGCCCAGTTGGAGTTCACTGGTGCCATTCTCACTTTATCATACATCAAAGTTTGGTATTAACTGTAAATTTGAAATTTTACTGTATTCCAATGTCAGTTATTTTCCTCTGCAAAAAAAAGTGATCCTAGCACCAATGCACAGTACCATGCATCAGTCTGAAAAATAATCTGCTATCATGACTTGTTGTTTCTTCATCTTAAGCAATTTTATTTGCTATAATAGCGTGCTGATGCGACAATTTCCTGAGCCTCAGTTCTGTTATTCAGTGTTTACATGATATTTTATCAAATGCTTTCTTTACTTCCATGTAGACAACATCCAGTCCAATGATTTCTGAAGAAGGGTCCAGACCTGAAACGTCAGCTTTCCTGCTCCTCTGATGCTGCCGGGCCTGCTGTGTTCCTCCAGCTCCACACCTTGTTATCTCAGACTCTAGCATCGGCAGTTCCTACTATATCCAATGCAATCCCTTCAATCTAAACAAAAAATCGGAAAGAATTCCAGATGCTGGAAATCAGTAATAAAAACAGAAATTGCTGGAAAAACTCAGCAGGTCTGGGAGCATGTGTGGAGAGAAAGCACAGTTAATGTTTTGGGTCCAGCAGCACTACTTCAAAGTTGAAGAGGTTCTGTATTTATCCCATCAATCTGATCTATTACTTCATCATCAAAAAATTCAATTCATTTACTCAAGTATGATCTGCTTTTTTTTACAAATCAGGGCTGACTCTCTGCTTCGTTAGTGAAATCCTTTCAAGTACATGTTGATGCCCCCACCCCAGAACAAAAATTGTATTTCTAAAAAACCTACCACTGATGTTAAACTCATTTGCCTATAAGGAATGTCCTCACATACTTTTGATCAGTGGTGTTACATTTGATACATTAGCATTATAATCGTATGTTTATGGAAAACCATCTAATTTGGAGAGATGACATTTTTAAAATATTCATAATTGTAACATTTACAGAACATTTTGTATTTGAACGGCACTTGTGGTAAAACATCTAAATGTGGTTCACATACGCAGCCCTGCTGAAGATAGGTTTTAAGGAACTTTGTATGCAATTCTGCTCTGCCTGCTATAGGAAGGGTGTAGTGAGACTTGAAAGGGTTCAGAG